TGATGTCCGCCATGCATTGTTATCACACACAATGTAAAGGTGAAGTTCCGAAAATGACAACACGCGGCTGGGGTCACACCACTTGTAATAAATAGCTACACGATTTAAAAAAAAGACCTTCTTTGTTATTATGTTAAGAATTCCGAATGGATCGACAAGAAATTATTTCTAGAATACATACAGTTGACTTCTGTATCGGCGCCATATTAATTATATCATGGTGGATGTTGCTATTATTTGTGGAAGAAAACTTAAACTAAGTTACTCAAATCCAGAGCGATAAAATATATTTCGGTTATTAAATATAGAGAGATAGATTTTTAATATTTAATAAAACGTAGGTGTTTAGGTTTTTTTTGACTTTCATATCCCATTAATATTATTAATCCGAAAGTTTGTAAGGATGATGATGATGGACGGATGAATGTTTTTTTTTTCACGCGAAAACTACTAAACGGATGTGAACCTATAATAGGCATGGGCTTTAATATTGTATTATATTTAATGTTCGTTATACCTATATGTTATAATGCAATATGCTGTTGGTGTTGCTTAAATAAATAAATAAATAAATGAAATTTGGTACATTGGTAAGTTATATTTTAACTTAGTAAATATTTTATGTACTGATTTACGCGGACGGAGCCGCGAGTTACAGATAGTTATTTCAAAATTATTTCAATTTATTTAAAAAAATCACAGTTGAAATTGCTTTCTCTTAGCAAAATCTGTTTTCCGAATAGAGCGGTGAAAAGGAGGTACAAAATAAACTATCATGTCGCGTGTAGTGTTTTTCGGAGCTCACCCTTTAGAGTTAGACATATAAATATAGCTAACGAGACGAGATGCCTACTTAACGTGACAATACAATATGCTCTTATTAAGTGTAATTTTATTTCAGATTAAACTGCTGGGTTATTCCTGCAGTTTGATTTAGCACATTTATAGGTTAACGTGTGTACGATTACCGTGTCGGTTCCGGCATAAGAATGGGCCACCCATTCCTTTCCTGTAGGTGTCGTAAGAGGCGACTGAGGGAAGTTATGGTCGAGGGATGGGCAACAGTGTCCTTCTTAAAACATCACCAATTTTTTTAAATAAAGATTAAGAAATACTTTGTGCGTGTAATTTCAACTTTTTATTTTGCATAACTGCCTACCTATAACGTATGTATTACTATAAAGTTGTTACTATAAGTTTAATTTAGTTTATTGTCAGTATTAGCGACGTCATGTACATTAGTTAAACCTTGTTTTTATTTGTGAAAACCTGTAATTGGTTTTTTATTTTTACTGTCTTTTTTTATTATGAAATTTTCTAGCTGTTAGTTTTTCTTTAATAAAATTTAAAATAATTATAAATCGCTTTGATAAATCGTTTTTGGAAATCGACAGATATTTTGTTGCTATTAGTTTCGGTATGAAATCTTGTAACATATTATATAATACATAAAGTTTGTTTACGTAGTGATAACCAATCCAGAACGATGTTAAGTCTTCATTGCAGGTATGCAATGTCTGCTGCAATACACTGATTATTTACATACGTATGAGAGATGTAATACGAGGTATATTTAATTATACTACTGCTATTGTTATATTATACTAATATATATATATATATATATATATATATATATATATATATACACTAATTTTTACCCGTGTTTTCGTCCGTGTAACCAGGATTTGTTTATTGATCTAGATAAAAGGCTAACTGCGGTTGGTTTCGGTTATGTTTTAAGAATAACGCTACGCTAACGCCCATTCCTCGACAATTAAATTCCCTTAGTCGCCTCTTACGATACTCACGTGAAAGACAGAGGGGCTACTCCTTTCTTTCACGTGATTCTTTGCCGAGATCACACGGTATGTTTGTTACCTTATAGCGTTTTAACCGATTACTACGAAATTTAGTATACATATTATATGGAATGGAGCAATATATGAACCATTTTTTTTGTTCCAGTTCTTCACTGACCGATGATTTTTTTTTTTTTTTTTTTATAGAACTTAGAATGGCAAACAAGCTGACGGATATATATATATATATATATATATATATATATATATATATATATATATATATATATATATATGATATATAATTATACTTATCTCGGTTACGTGAACAAAGTCGTGATTAAAAGATAGTTTATAATATTAGTAAGGATTTAATATACGATTTCTAACGATCCAATATTAAACATAGGAGACCCTGTATATTGCAATAAGGATATCCTTTATTCTAACTTACGAATAGCTAAGGAGCTAAGTGGCATCTTAGTGGTAACTATCAGCTAATAATCGTTTAAAAATTATCAGAGATATTTCGTTACATATACACAAATAAAATGTGCAATTTTTATATTTCGGATACATTAATATTCAGATAAGGAATGTGCTTGTATATGCATGAATAATTGCATTCGAGAATTGTTACATAATAAAGTAATTGCATACATAATAAACCGCATAAAAACAAGCAAATTGCAATGAGATTATGTTCTATGCGCATGCACTTCCGTTGGCAACCAACCATTATTATGACATGCACTCTTCAATAATTTTTATTTTATCCTCGAAAAGTGGAAAATTCCATATGTTGCCTACTGAAAACCATGTGCGTTGCAGTGATCTTGTAGTTTTTGTTCTAGCAGTTTCCATTGTTATGATCCTATAAAAAGATGCACTTGGTTGCAAATGGCATTGACGGCTGGCCATACTCACTAATATTATATATATAAAAATGAGTTAGTTACAATATGGTGCTTTTTTATGGGTGAAAATGGAAGTAGTAACCACACCAGAGTTATTGGTATATAGAGTAATAAACATCTATCCATTCAAACAATTTCGTCAATTTTCGAATTTACAATAGGTAAATAGCATAAAATAAAGTAGGACAATAGGATAATAGCAGTTAGTGGAAAAAAAGAGTGTTATTTCAGAACCCCAAATGCGTGAAAAATATATAATTTTGAATTTTAAAGCGTAACATACTATTTATATTGTATATATGTAATACAATTAATTATACACAAGAAAAGAGAGAAAATACTTAATTTGTTTGTAATTAGGAAGTATAATTAAGTTTTTAAGAGAAAGATACATCATTGAATATTGTAAAGTATCAACGATGGAGTGTATGTTAAACCTTGAATACGTTCGAAATATCTTGCTATTCAGTGGAAAATAATAAATTTATTATAGCGGATTCATTTACATAAATCTAAATAAATCTTTTTAACATTGACATTAAAGTAAGAATATATCTTATGCTAAATATATAAGAAAAAAAGAATATATTTATATCAAAAAAACCTTTTTAGTGAATTATCAATAGTAATAGTCGTTTGTTTAGGCACCTCTGTCCCTTTCCTGTTTTTACCGTGAAGCAGTTGTGTTTGCATGGCTGTGTTTCGATTTGAAGGGTGGGATATGGCGTGAATTTACAGGGTACAGAGGAATAACACCTGAGTCCTCAGGAATGGCAACGCATGGGGGGTATCACGGGCGAATGTACTCTGTTACGTCTATGGTACTGCTCATGTCTATAGGCGACGGTTACAACTTTCCATCAGGTGGGCCGTCAACTTGTATGCCATTCTAAGTTGCATAAAAAAAAATACCAATAGCAAAATGCGTAGTAAGTGTCCAAACTATTAATAGATAGTAACAATCCATGCGTAGACATTTTTTTTTTATGAAACATGTACATAATGAGCCCCGATGTTGTCTATTTGCGTATTGTGTTACGTTTGCTTACGTCTTTATGTAATTCTGACCGGTCCACATGTTTATAAATACACTAACCATTAAACCTCTTTTTAATGGATCTTGTTAGTATTATTCAGTGTTGCCAACTCGGCTAATTAATTTGCAATTTTGGGTAAACATTTACGTTTTAAATATATAGGATAGATGAAGAAATTTTGGAAGGAGAATGAAATCGATGTGGGGAATCAATAATTTTGGTAGTTTGTTTGAGAGTTCTAAAATATATCACTGAAGATAGTAAGACGATGTTAAGATCAGAATAGAGAAAGGCTGGTTTCTTTTCTTCGTTGCTCGTAGTGACAAAGGAAAAGTTTGTTATTACATAAAATTTGGAGCGAAATAAAAAGTTGTATCAAGCAACATTGGTTATAACGCCATCTATTGAGATGTTGAGTGATATTTTATTTTTAAATTTTGTTTTGAACGCCGATGTCGATAACCCCGTGCAAGCAAAAAATTTACATTTTGACCATTTATTGCCTTGGATGACGATTTTGTTTTTTTCAACTGGTTCGAAAAAGGATAAGGTTTTATTTCGACTGTAGATATATTTCGTGTGCGTATGTGTGTGTATATGTATGGATAGGATGTATAGGAGTATGTGATGTTTATTTACCCAATAAGTTGCAACATATTACTGTAGTATAATAGATAGTTGAGAGATGCAAATTCGAATCCCTATGGAGTAGCCTGGCAGGATGTTAAATTTTATGTTTTCCAAATGCAAACTTAGCATTTGAAATATTTTTAAATTTCTCTTATAATTTCTGAACGCATAAGTATTTGCTTACTCACGTGTTGGTTACTTACATCACTAATTTGATTGAAGTCTTATTTTGTGCCATAAAATCTTAAATTAGGTACGTCAATCACGTTCGCCTTTTATATGTTTCCTTTGTGTTCATGAAATATTATCTCGTCTGCGCAGCGACACTACTTATCTTAGATATAGACTATAAACGGATCTGTAAATAGTGTACGTCAGGAGATATCTAAATAAAATAAAATTGATGTTAATGGAATTATATTTGGAAAATTATATTTAATTGTTTTGTGTATTTTTTTTTCAATAAACCTAGATATCTAATTTGCTGGAAAAGGATACCCGACATGGGCACACATGGGTACACCCGTCGCGGCTCGTCGCTATCAGTGCTGTGCTGTCGCACACAGTAAAAGTTGTGACAACAATAATGCGTTATAAAACACAGCGAGTGAACGAAAAGCCGCTTCAGTTTGCCTGAGAGCAGCGCAAGGTCAAGAGCATATGGGCTCTTTTGAAAACAGTCGATCGTTGGGCCGAATCGCGATGTGACATAGCCTCATGAAATTATAGAAAAAATAAAAATAAAAAAGGGGTCGCATAAATAAAATAAAAATTAAAAAAAAAAAACACGTTAGTAATTCTCGAGCTCATTGTCTACGTCTCGTGAGCACGTGCACGCCGTGTTCCAAATTTAAAAGCTCCAATGCGATAGTTTCCCGCGTAAACATTGTGCCGGTGTTATTAGTGTGAATTTATTTAGTTGTTACTCGAAATAAACATTGTGATTTAAGCATTAGATTCAATAAATAATACAAGTTGGGGGGCGACGGAGATAATATTTCCGGGTAAGTGATTAGAACCAACCTGCCGCTTTGTCTACGTGAGGATAATAACTAAGCATGTTAAATATATGATAATGTAGGATACAGTAAATCTATGTAAAAATTAATTCAAATGCATTCAATGAGACTGCGTTAATAAACAGTTATCACGCAATACTTTTCTTAAATTTGTACTTTTAGTGAGTTTTATATTATATATAGGAAAAAAAAAATTAAAAAATTTCTATTATTAATTTAATTTTTTTTAACAATATTTTTTATTACCATTAACGCTTCATGGCCACTATTTACAAAATAATAAAAATAATCTTTATATGAAACAACATGACTATAAGTACGAGTACATTCAAATCATCTCTTCCTGTGACGGTAAAGATATTAGTTTTTTTTTTTATTTAGAATTCTTGAATATTTTCAGATATTGTTTTTTCATTCACAAAAGAGAAATAAACTATTAAATATAGTGAAAATGAAATAGTTAGCAACTATCTCAAATATATTATATATGAATAAAATTCTATTATATACACTTTGTATAATAATTTAAAAAAAAAATACTCTAATTATCATAATATATGTATATATATATATATATATATATATATATATGTATATGTATATATATATATATATATATATATATATATATATATATATATATATATATATATATATATATATATATATATATATATATATATATATATATATATATATTAATATTTTTTAATTTAATTCACTCATAATCGTATTTTCTGATTTTTCTGATATTGCTCACAACTTGGGTTACATGTTTGTTTTTATTATTTACTTCATTTTCTCGCATTGTATTAACTATGTTAAAGTGAATGCTGTGAACACCTATAATAGGCATGTGCATTAATATTGTATTGTATTTAATGTTTGTTATACCTATATGTTATAATGCAATATGCTGTCGGTGTTGCTTTAAATAAATATATAAGGAAGTACTCAACATATGTACATCTACTATCTATCAGCAATCATTGTTTGCTTTAAAATAATATTAAAAAAATAATATTTAAGCACGCGTTTGGAAATTTAATTTCCAAATTTATAATAAGGACATGTTTTAAAATTACCATTATTACAAGAGTTAGTAAAACATTTTAGTTAGTTTAAAAAAAAAAAAAACCAAAAATGATAGGTACATAAAAATTGCAGACTTTGTTGAATGAACATTAAAACGCATTAGAAACTTAGGTTGTTGTCGTCAAAATACCACTTAAATTCGAAATACATGTAAATTAGAATATATATTAGATTTTCAAAATTTATTTATTTTATGTTAATTTGTTTTTCTTGCGCCTGTAATTGCATATTTGTTCTAGTTTAGGTACATATTCACTATAGTAAAATTTTTGTTTTTAATTTAATAATAAGTGTTTATAATTTTTTAAAGTTTTCTTTAATGTTTTACGCTGTTATTCCAAACTTGCTTAATTATACAATACTATCATACATACTTGTACAACAATTAGTCCATTACCCTAAGGTTGTCTTGAAAAGATTGCTCTCAGCAATAAGACCGCCTTACTGTACTTATACAACTGTATCGTTACATTTATTAATTGTCTTGCTTATTCCCTATATTGTATAATGCAAATAAAGTATACTCATTCATTTATTTATACTTTATACTGATTTATTGTACACAAATATGTATGTATAATTTTTGTAATAAATGAATGATATAAATATAGAGTTATTAAACCGATGAATGTTAATTAGTCATATGCAAAATTTAATATAAATTTTATGATTTTTTTAATAATAATTAATGAAGTGTATTAATACACTCAATAGCTACAATCAACGACATAGTGTATTAACATTTTAAACTATTGACACAATTGTATGGTATACAATTTACGCAAATTGTAGTGAATTAAAATATTCATGATTTTTTTTTTTATAGAAGATGATGTACTTCATTGTGAAGTAAGAAACTCATATTATAATATTTTCAGTCACTTTGATAGATAGATAGATAATTTATTTACATTACTTACAGCACACAAATTACAATACGTAATGTATGTTTATACATATAATACACAGTAAAAGAGATAAAAGAATGAAGAAGGCTCTCAGCTTTATTACCAGAGGGAGACTTTGTACAAAAGTCGATTGCTGTATATGCTCAGCAGTGGAAAGTTAACAGCTGATGTAATATTTGTGACCCTAAGTAGGTCAAGTGTCGCAGAATCGAGAACGAAGCTTTCGGCTATGGGCATGTTTAAAAGTACATAGGCTCCTTTGTCAACCGACTTAAAGAAAGAAAGACTGTGAGATAAGAAAGAGTTATGATGTAACACAAAAAAATTAAAACCGAGTTTTTTTTTTACACAACTTAGAATGGTAAACAAGCTGACGGCCCAGCTGATGGAAAGTGGTAACCGTCGCCTATAGACATGATAGCAGTACCATGAACATAACAGAGTGTACTCTTTCGCCCATGACACCCCCCCCATGCGTTGCCATTCCTTAGGACTCAGGTGTTATTCCTCTGTACCCTGTAAATACACGCCATATCCCATCCTTCAAACCGAAACACAACCATGCAAACACAACTGCTTCACGGTAGAAACATGAATGGGACAGAGGTACTTAAGCAATCGACTTTTGTACAAAGTCTCCTTCTGGTGGTCTCATTCTTGTAGAATGAGGACCAGGCAATGAGTATGGTTGTAAGAAATATAATAAGTGACATAAGATGAAAAATTATAAGTGATATATTATATTTATATACTTATTATATTTATATACTTATTGTATTTTTATAGTTATTATAAATATTGAAATTATCATATTTATGATTATTAATAAAGTGTAGGGCATAGTCAGAGTCAACTAGACGCCGCGCCGCGCTGCATCGATGCGCCCGCGCCGCGCCGGTGCAACGCGTGCGATCCATTCGCTACGTCTAATCACGCACGGTTCACGGCTACTTGCACCGATTGCTTATTGTTTTGTGGTTGTGACGACACACACTGATAAATAATATTATATTGTACACACTAGTTACAGAGTAACGAGTAGAGAAATCACACACACACACACTGGTGCAGTTGAGAAATTGTTTTAGTGATGGTTAGTGTGTTACGAGTATGTTGTCCAATACATCGCCTGGTACGAAGTAAGACATTTTTAAAAATCGAATTTCTATCGTGGTCGGAAATTTTCTTTTTTTTTTTTTTAATTAAATTCTGAGTTCTATAATTAAATAATTAAGTTTTTTTTTTTCATTTAAGAGTTTCCTCTTTTCGGTGCAACTAATTCATGCATCTTCCTCCAGCCAGCTCTATCCCAGGCCATATCCTTTATCTCCCCATACGACATGACGGCCAGTGTTTCCTTTATCTGTCCCATGTAGTTAATCCATAAGTTTTATTATTGCTTTGAAATTAGTTATACAACATTAGTTTACCTATTGGTATATTAGGTAAGTATTTTATTATGGTTAAATTTATGGTAACGTAATTGTATTTATATTTTCTTACGAGAATATACAGAAATTTCTTATTAATACTTTTTTTTTATGTTACTAATGTGAGGCACTATGCAGTACTTAACACTTATACATATTAGCGTAACACAATTAAAGTTATATAGAACTGAATTATTTTATTAACAAATATTGATATTGAATAGAGGACAATAACGATTGTTACATAGACACACGTGTTTTAGATTGGAAAAAAAAATGACTCAAACTTCCCCACCAAATAACAAGTAATTTAGATAAAACATGTGCATCGTTTTAAATACGTTGAAACTTAATAAAATGTAAAAATAGAACGCTGCATGATTACAGTACAGAATTATCGATCAATATCCAATTGCATTTATATATGTACTACTTGTACTATCCGTCTCTTATGAGCTCGGTTATCACCAGATGTATTTTTTTTTTATTCTTATCCAAATGTGATTTTTATTTCTCTAATAAGATTTCGTCTTTATCCAGGCACAATCATTTTAACAATGTTTTACTACGTAACCATTAAATAAACGACGAAAAAGTCGCCCTTCTGTGCACCTTACTTGTTCACCTCATGTGTCTAGGTCAATTATTTATTCCATTGATTTATACAACAGTATTGAATTAGAACTCCATTTAATTTCACTAAAATTCCGTGAAGACAAAAAATTTTACTCAATATTCCGAAAATACAAATTTGGGAGCACTGTTTCCAGTCTTTTATATATGTAAGTCTGATATACCAGTCTAAGATTACACTACACTAGCTGGGCGTATTAGTACAGTGGTTTACTTTGATATTTTTATTTTATTTTTTATTTATTTATTTATTTAACACTTTATTGCACCAACATAACAAGATTTGTTGAACGATTTTCAATACGTATAGTGTAGTACAAAAGGCGGTCTTATTGCTAAGCAATCTCCCTCCAGACAACCTTTGGGTAGAAGGAATTAAAGCATAAATAGGTTTTTTCTCGATAGATAGATAGATATATAATTTATTTGCATTCTTCTTTGTATTCTATTGTACTTTGTTCACTGTACACGGTCGTATCTTCTTATATTTATAGTATTTACTCAAAATAAAGGATTATACATTTACATACGATTAGACAACAAAATAGAATCATTTCTCAAAAGAATTATACTTGAAACATGAGTGTTTACTATCAGTATGTATGTAGTTTATCTCTGAGTACCGTCTTGGGTTGAGACTGAATATCGTTGATAACACTAGACGAAAGAGAAACTAGATTTTGTTATAAATATTGAATTTAGATAAAAACATCTTTCGCGGTTTAGGACATGAATTTATCTAGCGTATTTATTAGCTCTATCCAGCGGCTTTGCCTGTATGAATTAGTATAGTACATTATTATATCGACATATCTTAATCTAGGTTTTGGTATGTTTGTGTATTAAATTGAATTCACATCTGTTGTGATTGAATAACAAATATCTAAACTTTTACATTTAAAACATAAATCTTAATATATTTTTGTATATCAAATATTCTTTAAATGTACGAGTACTTTAGTTTTGATATAGTAAAATGTAATTATAAAAGCAACAAAAACTAAACTAACCGATATAGCCCGAAGGATAAGCAAGTTAAAGTGGCAATGGACTTGTGAACTGGTCACATAGCTTAAAGAACCGATAACCGATGAGGAAAAAAGGTTCTTGAGTAGGGACCCTACACGGACAAAAATAGTGTAGGATAAAGCCCCCCCCCCCATTAGATGAAGTGATGACCTCAAATGCATTGCAGGGAGTCAGTGAATGCAGATGGCTCATGACAGTTTATGGTATGGGGGAGGCCTAATGTTTAGCACTGAATGATTAATGGCCGAGATGATGATGATGATGAAAATGTAATTATCGCGCCGACATCTTGACCCTGTTACATATCATCGTGCTCAAAATATATAAATATATATTTGTTGATAGAACCAATATTGTCTATAATTAATATTGATATTAATATGTACTCGTATATTAAGTGTAAAGAATCTAATATTTTTTTAAATAAACAAGTAATTAACGCCTGTGGAATAACATATGTATAACGTTTGAATGTGCAGGGGCGCAAGGGGCGTCCGCGCGGCGTCGGCGGCGAGCGCTGCGCGGTGGGGCGAGCGGCGCGCGCGCACCATGCTCGCGAGCATCAAGGGCTTCTGGAAGGTGTGCCGCTATGGCGACCTCTACATGGTAAATATCTCGATATAAGGAATTAATACAATAATTATTACAAGGATCGGTGTAGTTGTAAGACATTTAATAAGCTCTTTAAATATGTATAAAGGTTTAATTTTATACTTTTTTTACGAAATTTTTGATGGAGATACTTCTCCTGGCTTAATGATCTATCGATCAGACTGAAAGATTGAGTATAAATTTTGAAGTTTCTTAAAATTTTGAATGTAGTGTTTTAGGCACGTTTTATGAAGGGGTTTTTTTTGATGGGTGAAAATGGTATGGTAGCCCCGCCTGCGCTAACGGGATACGCTGGCGGAGCACCAGTGAAGGGTGATAGATAAGAATGAAAACAGGCCAGTTAGCTCATCATGATGAATTCATCAGGAATTAACCATGATAGTTCCCAGGGGGAACCGCGAGGAGGTCGACCTGGTTGGGTATATTGCTAGCAATGGGATTCTCAGTCTCCATTACTAATAATCCCTTTCCCCCCTTATGAAGGGGGTCTATTCTGTACTATAATAGTTCCTATGGATTCATTAAAAAAAATGATCCAAAATTTCCATGGTAACGTGAGATAACGAATTTGAGTAAATGAAATCGCGACAGTCATTTCGTATTTATTATTAAAATTATTGTATGCAAGGCGCACTTGCTATATGAATTGATAAATCTGCAATACTTGCTAAGTTTACACTACAAAAGTACTTAATATAACATATTACGAGTATAAACACATATCAGTACAATTCTACCCTACCATATACTGTACATATTATTTATTATTAAATTAATTAATTAATAATAAAAAAAATACATTATTTAATTATTACAGATAAAATACACTTTGTTATAGTCTTCAGCAATGCGTCTGTGATTGTATGGTATAACAATATAGGTATAATAAAAATTACATGTAAATCAGTGGTCGATTGATTGTATTTTCAAGTTCCTTCAAAAAGAAGTAGGGTCTCAATTCGGTTGTATTTTTGTGTTTAACTAAAAATTCCATCAGTTGTAAGCCTATTTGGAATATTACTTTTTTGTCTGAAAGGTATGTATGTATACTTATAAATTGGTCCTATGGAAATTTATTCAAAATTCGATTTAGTTTAGTTTTTAAATTAATATAGCGGGTTTTACCATAATTGACGTCATTTTTTTTTCTGTGTGAACACAATCTTAAATTATCACACTTAATATATAAGCCTACATTGCATACATATAATTAACGGAAAAATTCAGCTAGCAACAAAAAAAAAACTTTATTTTTTTAATCATATTCCGGTTTGGTAGTCTGCGGTTTGATTTATTTATACACGTTGTGAGGTACTCATTACGTATTTGTTGTTTATGAAGACTTAACCTTCGAAATCACATAAATTGGGCTAGTGCGATAACCATCTAGCTTCTATCTGTAGATATGTGCTGACCAATATGGTTTTCTTTCTCTAGGTCAAGGATCGAAAAATGTAAGGACGAAGCGAGATATTTACAATTAAACGACATTTATGTTTTGTAATAAAATTTTTAAAAGGCGACATTCGACGATCGACGCCCACCTGTATGCCAAATGACAAATGTGTATAAAACACTGTTATGTTGAGTCGAACGCGCTGCCTCGGATTTCTCAATAGCAATGTTCGCAAAAATCAAGTTTACGTTAACGTTTTAACAGAAACTAAGCACCTTCCTAAAAGCCTTGTGATCCTGGCATAGAATTTGCCACCCCTTCCTTTCTCGTATAAATCGTGAGTGGCGACTAAGGGAGAGCGAGGAATGGGTAGCAGTGCCATTCTCAACTTATTCTTCCATTTTGTGTCATATTAATTAATTTATTGGCTTTACTACGGGTGGGGCATCTGTGATGTTTTTGCCCATCAATATTCGTTAACATTTATCAAATTTTATTGAGGTATGTTGATCCCTAACTTTCTTATAAGTCGAAATAAATGAAGACAACCATGTACCACGGTCTCATAATGCCAAAATATGAACCTGATTTAAAGGTCAATTAACTAAAGTTCTCGTTATGGTTGGGCGCAGACGAGTTACGATGACGAGTTCTGCCCTATTATTATCTTCATTATTATTAATAGACATAACAACTCAATAACAACCATCATACCACAACACATCTGGGTACAGTTTTCCATTTTATTATAGAGAAATAAAGCCTATTTTACCAGACTGCTCAGGAGGTGTGATATGGAGGAATTAATTTCGAGTTTTCTTTTTGTCATACTAGTGTGGCTATTTTATTCTGCTTCGTTTCTGTAATTATCACCTATTAAAAAAAATCTACTGGACAGGTGGTTGGAAATTTAAATCAATACGATATCTTGGAATAGACCATCTTTGTACCAATGGCCACGGAGATCTAGAAGAATGAGATCCAAATCAATAGGCTACGACGCCTCCGGATGTACGTGTAGGTAAATACCTGCCATGTTAAAAGTAAATTGATTAGACACACTTTTAAATACTTATTAGTATGCATTACTAGTGTAAGGAAATACACGTTTTTGAATTTAGATCACCGTCGTGTAAATAATAGCCACTGTTTTCCTCAACGACACTCGACGTCAATATGAAACTACTGAATACACAGTGTGTCAATATTAACAGGTCGTGGAGCCCCATTCATGAATGCGCGCGCGCCGCTATTTGGTAGAACTCTGACGTTATTTTGGTAAAGAGAGAGACAATAGTATACTTATGAGTAACGTTGACAATAAAATATTTAAGTTAATTCAACTTAAACATTTATATAATGAAATGTTTACGTCAGAGAAGAAAACATAAGTACAACGAAATAAAATGTGTAATAATTAGCAATGGGAGACAGGCGTGACAGATATGTATGTATGTAATTAGCGATTAATTATAGTTATTGGATATCAAAGTATAGTAGGTAGTTGATAAATTTATTAATATTACATAATGATAATAATATTAATCAGTGTAATTATTTAATTATATTGCGGTAAACTATACGAACCCTAGGGGTTCACGCTGATAACAAAAATAGGTAAATAGGCGCAAACAAGCAAAATCCACACAAGCGTAAACAATGATAACGAGACGTTAACTGTTATGCGTTATAATTCATGATTAGTACTATCGGTGAGTCATGAGAAACGCGAATAAATTAAAACCTGTATGGCTGAATTTTGTTTCGGTTGTTTCGTTTGAAGTTATTAAAATTATAAATTGTTATTTTTATATATACTAGTCGTGTGGTCTCCGCATAGGATAGGCCATCCCTTTCTTTCTCGTAGGTGTTGTAAGAGACGACTAAGGGACTTGTTTAGTTCTGAGTGTAGGATGTCAAATACTTTATAATATTAAGGATTGTGTTATATTCGAACCTAATAATTAATATATAAATCTTTCTAGAGAAGTATTCGAATTAACTTCATATGTTATCAGTAAATCAACTTGGCCAGTTCACGAGAAATATTTATACGAAATGTCCACTATATTTCCGCTTCCGTTTTGTCGGTTAATGTCTGCGGCGGTTACAGTTTACCTTGCTTGCTTATAATCAATCATGGATTACTGATAATGTTAGTACGACTTTACAGATTATTTTTAGATTAGTAATTGAAATATATATTTTTTTTTAATTCTTCACTTTTCGTTTCGAGATTGAATCGTAGCCGATTTTAAAATTCACGTTTGAGTCATTAAGAAAGATCGCTACTTACTGCGTGCTTTGTGTACATCGAAGGTGGTCTAAAAACTCTTTGTCGCCAGAGGGCATGACCTTCACATGAGTAGTAGTAGTATATAGTATGTATGTATGTATGTATGTATGTATGTATGTATATATAAAGACTATTAAAGTCCGAGATATCCCTTTATCTTGAATTAGTATACAGTTATTCCTGCAATAAAACACAAGGTCCACTCGCCTACAAACTGTAACATTGAACTTGAACCCACAGTACCAACTGCGGCTGCGGCCACCGCTCGTCACTGTCAATGCCGTCTGCTAAACAGTCGCATTATGTAACTAAGTTGCATTACACATAATAACCTGCCATTATTAACGTTCATCCATAACAACTATAATTAGTTGCATATTCATAAATATGAATTACGAATTAATTTAGATTACTGCGGTATATTACATACCTACGGTATTTTAATAACATATGTTTAAAACAAATTATACAATTATACATTATTATAGACATATATTTTTTTAATAACAGTTGCTATATTTTTTAATAAATTTGCGTTAAAGATGTATTTGGGAAAATTTTTAAGTTTTTTATACCACTAAGGTGATAAAAAGTATACAGCCCATAAGACATGACAAGCGGTTACCTTAACCTATGAACACCTGTAATATCAATGCCACGCGCGCTTTGCCGCCTAAAAAAACCTTTTTATCCCTTTTTTTTAAAGAACCCCCTGCCGTAGTTTCTTGGAAAATCCTCAAAAGGGAGCTCATTCCATAACCTGAGCATTCGTGTGAGGAAACATCTCTGAAACCGCGCTGTGCATGACCATCTGGGCTTCAAGGTATGGGAGTGAACTTCCTGTCGATGGCGAGCTGTACGATAGTAATAGGTAGTCTGTTGTATAAGCGATAGAGCGCGCAAAGTAAGGCAAAGTCTCTCCTAAGACTTAAGAGTTTGATACTGCTTGTAAGCCTGAGATCATCGACAATTCTCAAAGGTCACTTTCATTAATACTAGGTAAAAATAAACAGTTTTCCCCAAAAAAAAAAAATAGCATAATATTAATTCTATTTACTATAAGACCATTATTTAAACTACGATAAATTAAATTGTTCAATTGTTTTTTTTTTTTTAGAATTGTCGGTATTAATATTCTGAATTTAATGGAAACATTCTCCTTACAATTGCATGTGTTGTAAAAGCAGGATGTTAATCATAATACTGCATATAAATGTAAAATATGTTGTTACGTGGATGGGTGCATCACACACAAGTGTTAGAGGCAGTCCAACTGCGAGTACCGAATGCTTATGTTAACGCGCGCCGTCACCCGGTTACGTTTAATGTCCCGCCAGTAAGGACTAACCTACTTCATCACGCTCCCTAACGGTTATTTAATAATATTACAAGCATCACTGATATATTTAGTAGTAGCCTACTAAAGATATTGGAAGCGGCTCACAAATATCTGGAGTCGGGTTAAATACATTTCTTATAACTTTGTATGTTACCACACTAGGTTTATAACATTGATTTGGCTTTTGCTGTTATAATGTTGTAATTATTTTTAATGAATAAATAAAATAAAATAAAATAAAATAAAGTAATGCATAATATTAAACTCCGGCACGGTCTCCGTCGTATCGTGTTTAATAGGTACGCACTCGAATGTAGGGATCGTGATTTTTTATGGGGTCATCTTGATTCTCGATGCATTGACTCAATGCTAACAACAATACAATATTGTCGTTTGGAATTTGCATAGTACATGAGACAATGCGCACACGAGCGACCTCTAACAAGAACATTCTAGTCTACGTTGGCCTGTGTATGTCATAAGCAAGGGCCTGAAGCTATATCTTATAATATAACAAATTTATTAAGTTTCACAAAAAAAGCCGATTTCAATTGTGAAAAAACAAACAATTAATTGCATTTAAAAACTTGATTACTGAATCCATTTTGTTTTATTTATATGGGATCAATCTGAAAGTATATCCTTTCAGATAAAAAAAAAAATCCAAATCGTTTTATAATTGACGGAGTTTTTGAGGTAACAAACCAAAAAAAATACCACCGAATTGAGAACGTTTTTTTGAAGTCGATTTAAAAAGACTATTTAGAATTTTAAAAGGTATGGGTCTTTTCAAGCTACTTTCCGAAACCTCTTAAGAGATTTTAATGTAATTTGGAAATGTATATTATTTTTTCCAAACTGAGAGATATTTTTTTCCGGATAAGAAAAAATACACCTGGTAGATAGATGTAAGGGGGTAAAACAACGTTATCGTGTCAACTAGTACTTTTGTTATAGTAGTATGCATCTAATATACTCATATAATGGCAGTCACATACGAGCACAATTTTTTTTTATTATGTAAAGTTGAACGACACATTGGTACTCCGAAGTAATAAAATAAGAAGTGCCAAACATTTTTTGCCACAAAATTGTTTAACATTTATATATTAACTCTATTCATACATTCAAATAACGTTTATATCAGCACTTAAACTAGTTATGTGCCTGTTAGATTAAATAATTGTAATAAATTATATTTTTTTACCGAATAAATTGAATAAGGCATTAGTTTCAATTCGTAGAGTACCTGCGAGGAATGATAGACGGGGAACGAGTTAATTCCTGTGGCCAATTCAAGAGAAATTAACTGCAATGGTGTTTAAACGGGACCGTGTGAAGTCTGACTAGACATAGGATACTTACAGCTAACAGTGGGTCCGTTTGTCCCCTACTTTTTTATATAAAATCCTTACATCGTATTCATCTGTGTGTAAATTTAATATTATATTCAGCGGTCTACCGTGAAATTAAATTCCGAAATTTCGGACTCAATTTCGTGTTTTTGTTTATACCAAAATCGGACCAATAAATGGAGTTTAACATTTCGTTCGTCATATATCCTATTATAAAACTCCAAAGGAACGATATTTTAACATTTTTAATATTTCTAAACGGTATGTATTATGTAATTTTAACATCAAATTTGTGTTTTGTTTGGCTCCGAAATTTCGGAAAACATTTCATGGTAGGCCCTCAGGCACGGATTCAAAGGTTTGCGCTTACAGAACAAGGTCGGTGGCTAAACTCTTTAAAAAATATCCTTTAATTATATTATTAGTTTATTTTTATACTACATAAGCATTAGCAATTCTAAATGCGTTCAAATTAATCTTGTTGATTGAGACTTTTTATAACGTCAGACATACGCACATTAACGTGTTATCGAATATCGGCTGTATGCTTGTTTGCCACATTTGTGGTATAAAAAAAAAAACAAAAAATTTAAAATATAATACTTAACAAAACATAAAAAAGCAATAATACGATATATACGACCTTACCTTCACTACACACATATATGTACACACACATACAGAACAATGCTTTGTCATAACAAGTACAGATATACAATTATTATACTATTAATATTTTATATAATACTAAGATTGTTTTATACAAAACAAAAACAAAAAAACTGGCTTCAATTGTAGCAAAACCAGCTTATTTTGATTTAAAAATTATATTTTATTTAATCGATTAAAAAGAAAATCGATTCAGTCATTTTTCTTTTTTTTTATAATTTACTTTTACATTTTTAATTTTGATAAAGTTTTTATGTGAACTTTATCAAAATTAAAATTGTAAATAAATAATAAAAAATAATAAATAAAAGAAGAATTTTCGAAATCGGTTCATAATTGACAGAGTTATGAGCTAACAAACAAACAAAAATATAACCAAATTGAGAACTTTTTTCTTTCGAAGTCAATTGAAAATAAGGATAAACTAGTTAAGGATAAAATAGTTAAGGTATAAAAATATAACTAAAAAAAAACATTTATCAAGCAATAAGCTTTGATTCTAAAAAAAAATATAAAATTTCGTTACTTATATACCTAAGAACAAAACAGCATCAAATTCTCCTGAGTTGGTCCGATATAGGTCGATTGGAAAATAAATAAAAAATGGGCGCAAAATTGGTACGGGGAAATATATCGTTTAAAATACACAAAAAAAAAAATATCGATAGATGAATTGAGATCCTCTTTATTTTTAAAAAAAAAAAAAGCTTAAATTGACCAAAACCCATGGTTATATACATAATAAACAAAAAAAAAAAAATTAACTATTAACTTTTTTATGTTTTTTATTTCAACAATCCGACGACATGACAATGTCGGTGATTAGTTTTAAAAGAATTATATTAATTGTAGTACATACACAATCATGCGCATGCGCAGCGTCACATAAAATAAACAAATTACAAGACCCGGTTCCGGTGATTAGTTGCAATCATTCACGTATGTATAAACCATTTAGCGCCGTCAATTTACTTTTGTATGTTGTAAAATAGAAAAATTGACATTTTGATATGAAAATTGTAAATCGCACACAATAGTTAATTGTGCTGGAAATAATAACTTTAAATATTGCTCAATAAATAATATATTCAGTACTAGTCAAACCCCTGATGTCGATAGCGTGAGGATTTTTCATATTTGCCCCCATACAAAAGAAACAATTTACCATCTTAAAAATTATCCTATATTTTGACTCGGATATTAAATTATGGATTTGGCCGTGTGATCCCGGCATAGGCCACCCCTTTCTATCCCGTGGGTGTCGTAAGAGCCGACTAAGGGAAGATGATGGGCAGCAGCGTCCCTTTTAAAACATATCTAAAACCTGACTGCGGTTGCCAATCCGCCTGCCAAGTATGTCAACTACTGGCAAAACCTCCCAAGGGGAGGCTTATGTTCAGCAGTGGACAGTTAAAGTCTGATATGATGATTAATTTATCATCATAGTATTTTTCATCAAAAGTCTGTTAGTTTTTGCGTGATGCGTACACGGATATATTTACATACATATATATTGGTATTGTATTAACAGTCGGACATAACGTGTTATGTCAATACGCGGCGATAAATTTACGACGATATATTTACAAATATACACATACTTTTAACAAAAAATATTATTTTTAAGCTTTAAATTTATGACAAACTAAATAGTGAAAGGTGCGTCATAAATTTGTTAAATTCGATTATACACGTATTACGCCTGATTCTAAAACATATATTGCTTTGGAACAATGCACGTCTAATGAAATTGGACATACAATGTGTTTATTAAATTTGAACAAATATGAACAGAATTGTAAGTAAATTGAAAATAATATTTATTTGCGATATACATTTATATTATAACATTTTTAATAGTATAAATTTGTTTTTATTTCATACGTTTCCAAGTGTATGACTTGGAAATTTATAAATTACGGTCTTAGGAGCAAAAATTCTAAAAATATCTCGATTCCTACGATTCCTCAAGATGTATGTTAGACTCTCAAATATAGTTAGGCGTATTCTATACGTTGTATTGCATGCAATCTTAGGTTTTATGACCATAATAAATTTACGCCAAGGGTTCTCTCATCAGACTTTCAGGAAGACGAGGCAAACACAGCCACAATGTTCTTCTGTTGTCCTAGTATTTACATCCGAAACACATTATTCTGCCAGAGTAAAAATTCTGTACATTGACCAGGCTTTCATGTTTATTTGCAGGTGTTGGCGGCGCTCGCCGCGCAGTCCATCAACATATCGGTGGGCTTCTGCCAGGGCTTCTCAGCAGTTCTGTTGCCCCAGTACACGCATGAACATCCAAATATCACATACGAACAAAGTTCATGGATAGGTAAGAATAAAAATTAATTTTAAATTCAATTTCATATTTACTGGATAGCACATCACATCAATCGCCTGGTGTTCAAGCCAGATCCTTTGTATTATAAGGAACTTCTGAAGGCATACACTAGGACACCCAGATCCGAGTCAATTCAAAGAAGATTGTGTCCTTTGACTTCAAATTGATAGTCGAGTAACATACTAAATAAAACGGGACTATTAACTATTATTTAGATTTAGTACATTTCTGTAATAGGCGAGGAAATTAGAAGCTTATTTAAGAAGAACTAAATGTAAATTGATATTAAAAATATAGTCACGCATGCAAATCTACACTAAAAGTTAAATTTAGGTATGTTAAAAAATATTAACTAACTCATTTTTTTATATTCCAAATTTTTTAATTAAAAAAAATGTTAAGCATTTTCCAATACTATAGTGCCGGTAGTTGCTAGCATCTTATAACTGAATATTAAAGAGTTAATAGATCTATTGAAACGATATAAACACTCCTTTGGTAAAACATATTTACATAGATGACTAAGTCTACGAATTATACACTAGGCATGCTAGCCTGTATCGTGTAATTCAGAAATGTGATTTAGCATTAGGTGATATATAGTATTAAGTGCTCTGTTGATATATAAAGATACATAGATACATATATGGTTTCTTCAGGGTCGGCAACGCGCGCGTAATACCTCTGGTATTGCAGGCGTTCATAGGCTACGGTAACCGCTTACCATCAGGTGGGCAGTATGCTTGTTTGCCAAAACATATATTGATAAAAAAAAACATAAATATATATTTTATAAAAACATACATATAATAGAATAGAACATACATAGATACAATAGAATTACTACAAATAACACGTAATTATACACACTAAGTAAGGACACACTAAGAGTTTCTTAAAATATAATATTAATATCGATTGCATTAGGTAAATAATGAATTTTTTTTTTATATAAAGTTATGTAATATCCATGGAAAATTAATAATATAACATAAATAGAGTGCGCAAACATAAGATAAGTGTTGTTTGTATATAATAAATATCGTAGCAATGGAGGCCGCGTCCCTTCACAGAGTTCTGTTCACGCCGATAGCGCGACGAGAAGGGGCCGCCGGGACATAATCCGGCTCGTCCATTGGTACTCACGACGGGGCAAACAAACAATCATATTTAATGGAAAGTTTGCTAAATCAATATAATGGTTTGGTAATAAATAACAAGTCGTTTGCTTGGGCACCTCTGTCACATTCGTGTTTCAACCGTTAAGCAGTTGTGTTTGCATGGCTGTGTTTCGGTTTGAAGAGTGGGATATGACAGTGAATATACAGGGTACAGAGGAATAATACCTGAGTCCTCAGGAATGGTAACGCATGGAGGGTATCATGGGCGAAACAGCATACTCTGTTATGTCCATGGTACTGCTCATGTGTATAGGCGACGGTTACCACTTTCCATCAGGTGGGCCGTCAGCTTGTTTGCTATTCTATATTGTATAAAAAAAATACATAAAAAATATCATTTTTTTATACCACTGAGGTGGCAATCAAGCAACGACCTACCTGATGATAAACGGTTACCTTAGTTTATGAACGCCTGCAATACCAAGGGTATTACGTATCTTAAAGAATAGTAATCAAGAAAAGCATCATACATACATAAAACAATGTATTATGAGAACCTACTCATCATACATAAGATGCAATATTTATTTATTGGTACATTGATAGTATTGCATGTAGTTCCTTACAATACAACATTTAATATAACCATGGTAATATATTTTATATCGGTAAAAGAAGTACACTATATCTTATATATAAAATTCTCGTGTCACGGTGTTTGTTACCAAACTCCTCCGAAACGGCTTTACCGATTTTTATGAAATTTTGTGTGCATATTGGGTAGATCTGAGAATCGGCCAACATCTATTTTTCATACCCCTCAATGATAAGGGTGACCATCCCCAAAAAATTTATTTTTTATTTTTTTAACAAATTTTTCCATTTTTATTTTATTATGATTTAGCATAGAAAAATACAAACAACTTTATATTCTGCTGCAATACGTTTGCAAGATTGCAGTCGAATATAATAATTGTAGTACGATAAATTTTCATGTATAGTTCTAGAAATAATGTATATGGTAAAACAACGTTTACCGAGTCAGCTAGTATATATATATATATTTTCTCAAATAATATAGTAATAGGTGTATAGTTGTATGAATAGCTGTAGACTATTTAATCAACTGCGTCGAATGACGTAAGGCATTTTTTATAAAAAGGGCTATTGTTCTATTTTCAATTTTTACCATATTTTTCCTTTTCGAACCTGCTTATTGACAATCTGTTCTTTATAGAACAATAAATCAATATGCTGTAAGAATGTCGGTTATATATATTTTTTTATTTAAATGAAGAGGTTCATCTGCTTTCAGTTGTTGTATTTTTATCAGAATAAAATAAAATTTATTCATTAATTTAAATAATTTTAAGTGAAGCCATTATTAATATGCACAACGTATCTCTATTATAATGTTGAAGACAGTGACTTTACAATTTCGTTGCCGTTTTAAGAGAAATATGTAATTAAATAGGATTACATGTAAATAGTTAACTTTCAATTAAGTTAAAAACAAACAAAATCTACAAATAAAACATATCTACAAATAAAGCATATCTTTTTTTTTGTGTAAATATTGATTTTAAACACGTGATGTGTAGCTGAAATTATTTGCTGACGTACCATATGTACACTGTAATATCCAAGTCATGGTTGGAAATATTTTCAGTGTGATCACAGGTTAATTTAGGGAATTAACTTATCAAAACTATCTCGAGAGGTTTTATTAATAACAAATGTCACACAATTATACCAGCTGCTAGATTCTTGAGTTACATGTCCTGTGTTATGAAAAAGTAGACAATGATAGAATTAATGCCCGGATCTTAGTCATTCTAGAAAAGTTATTTACCTAAATGGACTCAGTCTATAATAGAACCTGTAAACTCATTCATACAAAACAACGTGACGTAAGAGTTTAATATATATAGAGCAGGAGTTGACCATTTGACTAAACCCAAGAACTACTGTTTACTGACGAACCCCTGTGCGATCTACCAATTATATATTTCTTGAAATCTCAAATGAAACAATAAACCTTTGTAGACAATTATGTAGTACTGAAAATTATTCTCAGTAACTACTTCTTTATATTAGTGTGAGCATTGCGTCTGAGCAACTTTCGCTAGATTAGCAAAATATATAAATAAATTTTGCCTTGGCACTATCGACTGGACTTATAGTCGCGATCGACCAGTTGACCACCCCTTATATACACTATATAAAATTAAACTCTTTAAAATAGTGCAAATATCTGTACTTAGTGAAAGGTAGTCATGTCAATTGTCATGTTCGCCACCATAGCACCAGAAAGATCAATTTCTACACAATACCCTGGCGTATTGTGGAGCTGGTTCGACTCTTAAGCGCCTGATGTTTCTCTCAACACTAAATCAGCATGTAATCATAACGAAAGATGTTTAGAAAAATATATTCGTAAACTTATTTTTTATTGATATTCACAAATAAGACGATTTGCAACTACATTTCGATGGTATTTCTTATGTGTTAGGTACGTCATATTCTTATTACACTGGTAAACAGATTTTGTTTATTCATTCTGTGATGGGCAGGTTTTACTACTGGATTATTAATAAATCAAGATGCCTAGAAGTTAATTTTGTGAAATAAAATCAAGAATTGTGAAGACAATATTTTTCTTTGTTGCAGCAAGTTTGGGTGTTATTTCCAATCCTGTGGGTGCCCTGCTGGGTGGAATGATGGTGGACGCAGTCGGCAGACGGCTGCTGCTGCAGAGCATTGTGCTGCCCAATCTGATAGGTTGGCTAGTCATCGCCTTCTCGGAGACCTACGTGTTCCTATGCGTGGGTCGATTCATTACTGGTTTTACTATTGGTAAGTATCTAACGTTGTCGATGTATGGGTCGTTGTCTTGCCAAAAAATTAATTCAAAAATGCAAATTGTATCACAAAAACTTTTTTTGGAGATCAACAAATTAGTGGACTATCACAAAAAATTATAAAAAGTCGACTTAGAAAATGGAATGACATTTATGAAACCAGTTTACGATATGCGAAAATATCGCATGACATATTCAGAAAAATACAGTCAAATGTAAAAACTCTTTTTTCCAAAATCAGGCTTTTTGAATGTCAATCAAAAATATGTAGGTATTTATTTTTTTTCTGTTGTTTTACAGGCATGTCAACGGTATCATACATATATGTCGCGGAAATCACCACACCGGAGAAAAGGGGAGTTCTCAGCGCTCTAGGGCCAGGTCTGGTGTCTACTGGCATATTTGTGGTTTATTCACTAGGCGCCTTCGTGCACTGGAGGAAGGTCGCTGCTATATGCGCTGGAGTATCGCTACTCACTCCCTTCCTGATGTACTTCGTTCCAGAGTCACCGCTGTGGCTAGCTTCTAAAGGTCATATGAAGGAAGCCTACAATTCGATGTTTTGGCTCCGACAGAATAACAGCGCAGCCCAACAGGAACTGATGGAGTTCACGAAAGACAGAAAATCCGGGGAAACCATGTCATTCAAAGACAAGTTGTGCTTGTTCAAACGGAGAAGTGTATTGAAACCGTTTATATTGCTCATAGTGTTCTTCATATTCCAAGAGATGTCGGGTATTTACGTTATCCTGTACTATGCGGTTGATTTCTTCAAGTCTGTCGGCACCAGCGTCAACGAATTCACGGCGTCTATCATCGTTGGAGGAGTTAGAGTGTTCATGGGTGCAGTTGGGGCATGTCTCATCAACAGTTTTAGAAGAAAGACTCTGGCTGCGACGTCAGGACTCCTATTAGGTATGGCGATGCTCGGTGCAGCCGTGTGTGATACTCTCAACGGGCCTCCACTGGTAAAACTTGCTTGCGTTCTTCTACACGTATCCTTCAGCATGGTTGGGTTCCTGCAGCTACCGTGGATAATGTCCGGGGAACTGTACCCTCAGGATATTAGAGGAGTCATGTCGGGAGCGACCTCTTGTTGCGCTTATGTTTTGATCTTCTTCAATATAAAGACTTACCCTCAGTTGGAGAACTTATTGACCAGCAATGGTACTTTATATATCTTCGGGATTTGTGCTTTAATGGGAGCGGCTTATTGTCTATGGTTCCTGCCGGAGACGAAGGGGAAGTCGCTGACCGAGATCATGAAACAGTTCGACGAAGAGAGGACCGATGTAGATCCAGAGGCTTGTTTCTCCAAGGAGAAGCAGTACAGTATTGAAGAGAGACAGGTGCAGAGAAGGCATAGCGCGGGTGCTGCGGTTTCATTGGAGAAAAACAAAGATATATTCACGCCGTACTGGATACAGGAGACAGACGAAAAGATTAAACACAAACAGTAAATGGCGGATGTTGATTATATATAATATATATAGATATTTATTTCAATTGTTAGTTCAAAGTATTATAAAGTTACCAATTTATATGTGATGTTGAATCGTGTTGAAAATTATAACTGTGCTAGTGTTCGAGTGAGTCCTAGTTCATAAGGATGTTACATTCCGTTAGTTTTAGTTATTTTTTTAATTATGTATACAAGGTGACGATTTTTTTTAACAATGTATTACATATTTTTTGTGGCTATTTTTTTTAAGTACAAAAATAAATGACTCGAACTAGCTGTACAGCGCTGGTCGCAGGTCGTGGCTGGTAATATTTCCTTGTTGTTAGACACGGATATTATACTAATTTGTTTAGTAAACACTTTGACTGTTAAGTTTTGCTTGTATTTGAGTGCAATTGTAAGGATAGGATCATTCCCTTCGTCACTTAGTTGCATAGCAAGATTTTTTATGAATTGATTTTTTCTTTTCAATGTTCGGTTGTGAAAATCAATTGCCAAAGTATATTGAAATTGATTGTGAAGATATTATTAAGAAATTGTGAAGAATTGTTACTTATACGCCAGTAGGTATTTACAAATTATATTTTTTGTATAATTTATGACGTTGAGTGAGCAATCGAGTATAAATATAGATTAATATATAAAATAGTATTCGCTTTACACATATAATACAATATGTTTGAAGCCGTGGAAGTTTCGTCGGTCGAAACCTACTTATTGCAGGGTGAATGAAATAAATTTAAACTTGTTTATATACTGTGATGATATATTTAATAACCGTGTGAATAATAAAACGTTGTTTTTATTGTATACTGTTTCATTTGTTTTACATTTGTACTTTTCCTAAAAATCCAATGTTGAGTACATACAGTATTTTTAGAATGTTTTAAACATTCTTTTAAAGGATCATTTTAAAGGATTTCGATAGATTTTATTATCTGTTACATTATTTTTTATACTACTGTGGTGGAAGACAAGCATATGGCTCGTCTAAGTCTAACACGTAACACGAGGTGTGTAACGCGCGTGTTGCCGACCTTTAAGAAATCTTAGTACATCCTTTTTGAAGAACCCTAGCTGTAGTCTCTAGAGAAAGCCTTAGCAGGAAGATCATTCCATAACCCGAGTGTTCGCGGGTGAAAGTTCCTCTGAAATCGAATTGTGCGTGACAATTCTGTTTCTAAGGTGAGGATGGATTCCCCGCCGATGGTGAGTGGTAAGATAATGAAATGTGGCTGTAACTATCATATTGAAGAGTTCTTCAGAACACAATCCGGTATACAGGCGGTAGAAGATGCAAAGAGAGGCAAAGTTTCGCCTTAAATTATGGGGCTTGACACCGCCTGTTAACCTGGGATCGTCGACAATTCTCATAACACGCTTCTGGGCCATATTTCTTGAGCAAATTGAGTATTTAAAGAATTTTTCTACATACGTCTCTCGTCATACAAGTAATATATCTCTTGCCTTATCGACTTTAATGATTCTTTTCATGCATACGCTTCAGTTCTGGAGGCTCTTCACTTTTGACTTAAGGTATAGAGTATAATTTATAAAGTATTTTTTAATTCACATTTAGGTAAATCATTCTCTAAAGTTTATATGAACCTATTTAAATTAGTTAATAGGGTATAAAAAAACTAAACTGCCACTGTTTAGAAATTTGTTCCATGTCATCAAATTGTTAGGTACCAGTATAATAATAATGGTTAAAATATTATCAAGTATAAAAATTGTATTTTGTCACTATAAAAATGTAAATTTTTATAGTAATAAAATACATTTAATTGCATATAAATCTAAGTATTTTCAATTAAAATATGATAGATGTGGATTCACACATTTGCCGCCACTATGTAATTTCAATTTTGCCGACCCTATCGACCTCTATAATTCGATAGCCTAGTCATATTAATTACAATGGTTTTGTCAAAGAATCAGTAACTTTTGGTCTTTAATTTGCCACTTTAAATTTGCCGCTCTAGGTTTCAACCTACGCAGCCTACTGATAAATCCGTCACGTAACGCCATCTATTATGATCTATATAAACTTATAACACTGTAGCACCTAACTAACAAAATAATCATCTTTATGATTAAGTCGCAATGACCATAGATGGCACTACCTACCCGTTTTAATATATCGATTAATAGAGTAAACGTAGTACGAAAAACATTTTACAAGTATTTAATAAATTTGTAGATTGGATAAATATTTTTTTTTTATAATTTTTATTTTTAATTGCGTTTAAAGTCCTATAAAGTTTACGAGTCTTGTTATCCCATGTTCCTGACAATCAATTTATACATCTATCTCAATTAGGTACACATTTGCGCAAAAATATGTCTATAAGTAGCGAGCACTGACCTGGTCTGCGGGATGCCATACTTGATGCCGACGCCGACTCGGGGTAGGGCCTTGATCACCTTCTTCACCGTCGCCTGATCCGGAAATGCGAAGAATATGGACGCTGAAATAGTAACAAAACGATGTTTCACTTCAAGTGGAAATAACATTTTCGAATTGTGGCTAGAATTATCATCAGTTCAAATTTGTCTGAATATGTCCGTGTTTTTAGACTTCCGACTAGATTTTGTGTGCTTATCAACTTATCTGGATTTATTATTCAGATAGAAAAAAGTGAATGAATATTTTTTAAATTATAATAAAACATTAAATAACAAGTAGATTTTGCTCTACAAAAAAATTGTGACTTTAAAAGACAAAAATATTAATATCGGGACCAATACGGGAGTAAAATATATCAATTACATAAAGAATTTATAGGTTGCGGAATTTTAAAATCATTATGATTTTAATCATCCTATCAGCCCTTATTTGTTCACTGCTGAACATAGACCTCCCGCATAAGGAACGGTCCTGAGCCACCTGCATCCACAAATTTAAAGGTAAAACAAAAAGTAAATGTTAATTGTGAGCTTCTTCCAAAAAAAAGAAGTCTTGTTTTTCTTCGGTCTTGTTGCTTTTGTTTCATACCGGCAATATTGTGTGTGGATTAATGTGAATTTTTATCACCATTTATAATTCGCATAATGAGCAATGTATTCGATTTAATTCATACAATGGGTCTATAGCTGTCATAGCTTTTTAAATTAATTTAAAGAAAAATATGCACTTACTTCGGCTGGCCAGGAACATTTCTATGGCGACATTCTGTAGAAGGTAACGCCGCGAGAAGATCGCGCGTATCTCGCTGAAGTACCATTTTCCGTGAAGGTGTTCGCAGTACTTCAGTACCTGAAAATAAAGAATTTTCAATATTGAATATCTGTCTTTTAAATTTTGTTCAATAGACACGGTAATTGAGAAACAGTCTGTCTGTTAGTAAGCACAACGATGAACGCTTAAAACGACCATCACTTGCGCGTTGAAGATTCTTGTGATATGAAGACCTTGTGTTGCAGTACCTGGTAATTTCATTGTCCTATCTTAATTTATAAACCGGAATACAACATGCTAGCAAGTTGCCAGAGTTTACAATAAAGGTAGTAGTTGGTCTTTATGTCATCAGAGATTACAATCAAAACCAGTTGGTACTAGATCTCATCATTTTCATCAGAAATTTTAAATTATGACTACCTCTTAATATTTCACTGAGATCTATTCCCAAAGATCTCTCTTCTCAATGTCTGGAAGAAATTGCTTAGCGATAAGGCCGCCTTTTGTATCACTCCTCATTAATATTTACTGTATTTGTTATTTCTCTTTTTACTTGGTGCAATAAAGTGTAAATAAATAAAACAGCATAATATCTTACGATTATCACGACGTTTGGTGTTAACACTATCTAAAGAAGGTTTGGCTCTAACACTAGCATTTTTAGTTTTTTTTTCTCTTGGATTATTATCATAATTTACTTTTGTAATCTTACGCCGTGTGGTCCCAGCATAGAATGGGCCACTCCTTCCTTTGCTGTGGGTGTCGTAAGAGACGAATAAGGGAACTTGAATAATTGAGGGATGGGCAGCATCAGAACTTAAGAGATCACCAAAGAACAGGGTTATCAATCCGCCTGCCAAGCGTGGCAACTACTGGAAAACTCTCCTTAGGTGGAAGGCTTATGTTCAATAGTGGATAGTTAACGGCTTATGTAATAATAATAATATTATTAACTCTTTATTGCACCATAAATAAAAATATACAATGACAAGTGAATAATTTAAGTGAAATACAATAACATAAATACAGATTGAAATATACACATAAAGGTACAAAAGGCGGTGTTATCGCTAGGGTAATCTCTTACAGACAACCTTTGGTTAAAGGAGAACAGATAGAAATGGGCAGGTGGCCCAATAGTGAATTAATAATTTTTCGTGCATAAAATTACAAAAACCTGTAATGCACTTATAATAATAAATCTTCCAATATCATAAGGATAAAAAAAGAGTAGGAGTAAATTGCATTCCTTTCCATCTCAACTCTTCCCGTAACAGTTTCTTTGAAGAAACCCAGTAGTCTGATATTGAAGTATAAAGCTATGTTAATATATACATAAACGATAGAAGAAAATATAGAGATTGCGCGACCGTATCGCGTGTAATTTGTTAACAACATATGTACGAACAAGGTGGACGTGATAAACAGCTACACGGAGACATTTGTCTGGCCCTGTACAGACAAAGCCATGTCGCTTGTATAATAAGGCTATTTATTCGTAATGTTAATAGAACTTATCCACTATAAGAGGTTAGAACAGATTGAAATATAAAAATGTTCTCCGGATACTTTTAGCTTTAAATTTATGTTCGAACACTATTTGGACATGACATCTATGGTTTAATTTAAATGTATTATAAAAACGCAATTTTATATAACACGGCTTCGGATGGGAATAAAAATAAACACGCACCTAAACACTATGCAGTCGTAAACGGGGAACATGGCCGTCGTAAAAAGTTCGTTAGCTGTTAAATTTATACGCACAATAATTCGGTGTAAATCAGTGGTGGCCAGCGCGGCGGCAGAGGGGGAAGGGGGCACTAGTCCGCTCTTCAAGGTGGAGACTTCAAATAATGATGTTGCCTATTAATGTCTTGAATTAATAAACGTTAAAACCACAGGCATGTCTTGTATTTATTTTTATGTAACTCGGAATGACGGCGCAATAGATGGAAAGTGGTAACTGTCGCTTATAAACAAGAACGTACCACTACGGATATCATGATTGTAAATTCTTACATAAATTCAGTAAGAAAATAACCAAAATTACTTATCAGTTTTTTACTGTCGTTCGGGTGGCAACAGCTGTGCGGTTGTGAGTAAATATTTCTGTTTTTTATTTTTTTTATTTTTAAGTTTAATTTATTTAACCAATGTTTCTCGTTCATTTATTCCTTTGTACACATTGAAATATGTATATAGGTCGGACTTAATGTGTGTTTGGCTGTGTAGCGCCATCTACCACTCTCTTTGGTTCCAAAGAAAATAAGCGTTTAGACGTTACGTATGAATGCCCAAACACTTAGCTGAGTGGCGTCACATTTTGGTCGCATATTTTCTAATTAGGTATAAGTACATTTTTGCATTTTCTTTTTCTTTAAGTTTATAATTATTTACATATATTTTACTTGTAATTGTTATTGATATGCGCCAAATAAATTTTTCCTTCTATCTTTTTTCTTTCAAATAACCAAGCAATAAAAAAAAAAAAACAAAACATTGATTTTAATGCGTCGTAGATACAATGGCGGCTGCATGGGGCGCCGTAATTGGCGTCGAGAGATTGATTAGTGCAGTGAGCTGTGGTGATTTGTGAGATGAGTGGTGTTACGTTCCACGCTAAGGGACATGTGCATTGTTGTGTGTGAATTGGACATGTGTGTATTTTGTTGTTGTAATTCGCGTTAGCGATGCTGCGATTGAGTTAGATAAAAATTTTGCTACACCATTCATGTAGCAGATCTCTTTCTATCTATTTCTATTCTCATGTTATACATGGTTAATCGTAATGATCGAAATTCTACGATAGATAGATAGACAGGTACTGCTCATGTCTATGGTATAGGCGATGGTTACGATTTCCCATCACGTGGGCCGTCAGATTATTATTCTAAGTTGTGTAATTATTTATAGATACTATAATTTATAGATACAATAAATGACGTATGTATATGGCATGGTACATATATATATGATAGATACTATGTATGACTATGAAACTGACCGACTTGCAGTAGGAAGTATTAATCGACATCTCAAAGAAGTATTCCGTATAAGCGTACCACTTGAAAATCGATTTAGCTAATTTTCTAAATGTTCATCATAGTACAAATACGGTATTTGGATAAAGAAAAAAATGAAATTTAAAAAATGGAATGGTACGATCATACCACAATTACAATTAAATAAAAACATAATAAAAATTAACTCTGCCCATTCGAATGTTGCCTGGAAGAGGTCACTTTTAGGTATATTGTTACACATATTGTTTTTACAGTATGATTATTTCTTGTAGAAAAAAAAGAGATCTCTGTCAGAGATAAGTCCACCCTTGCTCACAATATTTATAAATGCATTAACAATGTAATTTACAAGTGCAATATATATATATATATATATATATATATATATATATATATATATATATATATATATTTATTTAGTGCTTAATTACAAAAATACTTAACAAATGAACAAAAAGAGAAGCACTAATAAGGATACAACACTCTCTGTTATTGTTTGTGTCCATAATAAATTTATTACTATAACCTTTTGGAGCAAACAATAAAGAGTATCTATCTAATTGATTCATTTATAACAATATACGTTACGACGCCTGCTTACAATATTAACTACCTTCGTTGAATTGGTTACGCTCGTTATAGTGCATTGTTCGACGTCCGTATTGGATATGAAATGGGGTGTAGTGACCAGCCCCTGATAGTCTATTATGTCGTATCAACACAATGAGTTCTCGACCCCCGCACCGTAAACAAGGCGCAAAGTGTAAACATTATGATAAAAAAACGAACATCAATGGATTTAATTTGTATGCTTATTATTGGTGTGAGTGTGGCGCTATCTGGTGTTAAGATTTTTTTTATACAACTTAAAATGGCGAACAAGCTGACGGCCCACCTGATAAAAAGTGGTAACCGTCTCCTATAGACATGAGCAGTACCATGCACATAACAGAGTACACTGTTTCGCCCATGATACCCCCCATGCGTTGCCTTTCCTAAGGACTCAGGTGTTATTCCTCTGTACCCTGTAAATTCACGCCATATCCCACCCTTCAAACCGAAACACAGCCATGCAGCCATGCAAACACAACTGCTTCACGGTAGAAACATGAATGGGACAGAGGTACCCGAGCAATCGACTTTTGTACAAAGTCTCCCTCTGACAAAAATTGGTAATTGCTAGATCGCCTTCGTCATACATGAAGCCCTTTGATTTTTGACTAGCCTAGCGGACAATGGCTTTACATAATCTCCGAGATACAAAGTGGTATGGCAGTAATATATAAATGATTCAAATATGAATTTGAAATTTCAGTGATTCAGGCTGAGGTGCGATTGATATTTCTGAGTCGCAATCAAGTGTTGTAGACTTAGAAGTCGTTTGTTTGGGCACCCCTGTCCCATTCGTGTTTCTACCGTGAAGCAGTTGTGTTTGCATGGCTGTCTTTCGGTTTGAAGTGTGGGATATGGCGTGAATTTAGTGGGTACAGAGGAATAACACCTGAGTCCTCAGGAATGGCAACGCATGGGGGTTATCATGGGCGAAACAGGATACTCCGTTATGTTCATGGTACTGCTTGTTTGCCATTCTAAGTTGTATAAAATAAAACTATGATATTATCACTGTATTTATATATTTAAACTATAATGCACAGTGTGCATGTATGTACATTTGATAGACAACACTGGATGGTGTTCTCTCCAATCAACCATTCATTTATTCATTAGTAAATGTATTATATATTTTTAATTACTTTTTTTTTTAATATGTAATATGAATAATATTGGATGATATTTCTTTAATACAATAAACACACGTTTTCTGTAGTCCTTTACAGATATGCCTCTATTCTCGAGAGCTACCAGACGAGGTGTGGGGAGCAACTGTCCTGTTCAATTGTAAAGCAATTTGTCAACGAACCCTCTATATTTGGAGACCTTTTAGGGTATAATTTCTACAAGAAAATACGAGTATAGACGAGTGACGTGTGTTTACAAATAAAAACTATATAATAGTGTTTCATAATGGTGTTTGAATTAAAAAAGTTTATC